TCGAATCGGTCTTGCACTTGGCCACGTTTGCTCGGAGAGACAATCTGTCCTCGTTCTTACACGCGGCTACTTCGTCGAATCGTTGTTACACTCGGTCGCATTACTCGGACAATCGCCTTTACGCGGCCTCGTTTGCTCGGAGAGACAATCTCTCCCTCCTTTATTACACTCGGCTACTTCGTCGAATCGTGGTTACACCTGGCCGCGTTGGTCGACGCGTTTGCTCGGAGAGACAAGCGCTCCGTATACTCGAATGCGTATTCGCATTCTATATTAGTTCTACACTATACTCTTAGAATGCACTTGCGCATGTTTTAATAATTAACTTCACATAAAGGAGAATACGACCCGTTCATATTATTCAGTTAAATCTACATGTTATATGCATTTAACCGGTACCCACCTGTTGCTATGGTCATGTTAAAAGAAGTGCACTACACAGAAAAAGAACGAAACAAAAGCACAAGTAAGCACAAGTAAGCAGAACAGAGCAGAAACAAAAAAAAGGAAGATATAGAATAATGTAAACTAGAGGTATACTGTGTATGTAGAATAAGGGGGAACAGGTATCTGCTGTTATCAGGTGTCCCTATGTACATTCCTACATACCCCTGACGTCATCCGAATGGCAGAGCTTCTGCAATAGGTCATCCACATATAACTCCCTATCCTGCAAACGCCTGTCGACCTCGCACTGTTCTATGATTAATGCAAGGAGCAGTATCCATATTTTAGCGGTTACCCGTTTTTTCATGTAAGATTGCGGATGCAGTTGCGAGCGTGGTGCAACGCGCACTCTTAGCATCTGTTGTGCTGCATTCACGTTTTCCACCTCTAAGTGTTTTGCTACTCGTGGTACTTCGCCTTTTGCCGGTACTGTCTCCTCCTGTACATTATGCAACAAATGTTGGAACCACTGCTGCTCCGGGCCATACATACTCATTTGCTGATGTTGCTGTTCGACCCACTTTTTCCATGCATCTTTCTTGATGTCTACGGATGGGATATTGCCACGCTCACGGAGTGCACGCTGCCCGGATACTACGTTGTCCTCGTTTGCCACCATGTGCTCGCGCAGGTATTGTTTCCAATCCACTTTTAATTGCAAAAACCACGGCTGCGTCATGCACTGCCGCAAAAGGTATTTGTTGCGGTCAATCCAGTTAATCCAATTAGTGTGGTCGGGGATCCGGCATTCATTCCCGGGGTCGGAAGAGTATGCAAGGGAAGAAGGAGGCTCTTGTTGTTCTAACTGCATGGTGTCCATACAACTCCATGGATCGCAGTCATGAGGTCGGCAAGGGTCCGTTTGTAATTGTATAGTTTCCATACAACACCATGTATCGGGGTCATCGGCGTCAGATGCAGAAGGTTCCGTTGGTAACTGTATGTTTTCCATACAACTCCATGGATCGGGGTCGTGTGCATTCGGTGGACAAGGGCCCGTTGGGAACTGTATGTTTTCCATACAACTCCATCGATCGGGGTCATGTGCGTTAGGTGGAGAAGTGTCCGTTGCTAACTGTATGGTTTCCATACAACTCCATGGGTCATGTTCATGCGGTGGACATGGATCTGTTCCTTCGGTGTCCGTGGATGGATCCACGGTGAATGAAACATTGTGCCCTGATAAAGCCTGGTTTGTGGTAGGAGCATGCAAGGAACTACTATGCCCGTTTGCGTCCCGCATCGAATGCGGCGCAAACTCCTGCACGACAATCTGCAAATAGTCGTCTTTGACGTTTTCCCAT